TTCCTTAAGACACACACAAAGTCACGATTTTTAAAGAGGTAAACGTGAGAAACATCTTGAGAGTTTTTGAGAGATTTTAGTGTTTGAAATGTGTATGAAGTGAGGTGGGGATAATGCTTCTTTGCCGAGAATTTGAAAGAAGAAGAAGAGAAGAGAGAAGATGAGATCTGACATGCATGGAAGTATGAGAATTGCTTAGATACTTGATGGGTAATTACATGGAAATCCACAAGATAAACATGAGGTGTCAAGCCTTAATTAATCTCATCTTCTTTTCTTTGATTGTGGGCAGTGAATGGGGGGGGGGGGGGAATGGGGCTTACGGCCCAATGATATTAAAGAGATGGGTTCACGGCCCAATTACAATGGAGAGATGGGTTTACGGCCCAAAGGTAAAGAAATTTGGGTTTACACCCCAATTACATTAAAGAGGTGGGTTCACGGCCCATCATTGTTCAAGGGAGTGGTTCATGGCCCATAAAGGCCCATGAGAATGAAGTGAGTTATTTTAGGCCCAACATGGCCCAAATGCTATGGTTTGAAGAATGTGGGTCCAATTAGAGCCCAAATGGGCTTCCTTGGCCCAAAATGATCAAATGAAAAGTTTACTGGCCCATTAGGCCCAATAAGAGGATCCTGGTCCATACTGTGTTTGAACCGGAACATTAGGGTTTCAAACCCACAATTGATTATATGAGATGTGTTGAATTAGGTTTTGGACTTCACTCAGGAGTTTTGATTCAAATGGATGTTTTTGATTAAGCATAGAACATGATATCCACTTAGATTACCAGTTTTACAAGAGTCGATGTTGACATGTAAACATAATTTCCTAGCTAAAAACGCTAGTTGTGACAACTTGGAATTCAAATAAAATAATATAAGTATCTAGTTGAAAAAAAGGGAAAATAACTTGAAAGGGTAATTATCTTTTCGTCTTGTTCACGTTTAGGTAATTTCATTTTTTTTTGTACATATTTGACCATTTAACTTGTTAAATGTGTTAACATATTACCATTGTCACATGCTATAGCAGGTGACAATGATAATATGTGAACACATTTAACAAATTAACTAGTTAAATATGTACAAAAAAAATTAAGTTACCTAAATATGAACAATTTCTTAAATTGTTTTTATAATTTCTTACAACATTTTTATGATATTTTTTTTCTATATGTTTTTCTAATACAATGTTTTAAATCTTTGTTTATATTTTTTTAACATTTTTATTCTTTCATGTAATTTTAATACAAGTGCTTTTAAACAAAATATTTTATAAATGTTTTAAAATTTTCTTACAAGTATGTAACTTGTTTTTTTTAATTATTATTATTTTTTTTATTTTTTATTTTTTTTATTTTTACATTTTCATATATATTTTTATAACTTTCATACATTTATTTCTAAACTTTAATTTACAACATTTTTAAAATGTTACGGAGATTTTGTATGATAGTTTAATATTTTTTATAACAGTTTACAATACTTTCGTTAAATACTAGTTTAAAACGTCGTAATAAAAAAATTAAAAGTTTATAAAATTTTAATTAAAAAGTATTAAAAAGTTGGAATAATTTTAAAACATTTACATTATATAGATTTTTTTTTATTTGCTAAGTAATATTTTCTTTTATTTTTTTAGAAGACTCTCCATACTTATTGTTACATATTTAATTTATTTAATTTTATTGTTAGATACTATTACTTTAAAAATATAGTATATGCTTAAAATCAAAAGAAAAAAAAAATTATAAGAGGCTATATAAAATATTTCATAAAACAAAAACATATTTATTAATTAAAAAAATAAAGTTTAAAATTGATCAATATTTAGAAAATTATGGATATTTTAAAAACAAAATTTAATTAAAATAATACAAACAAAAATGAAAAATAAAATCGCTATTAAAAGTGGGGAAATGACTTATTAGGGTAATTAACTTTTCGTTTTGTTCACATTTAGATAACTTTCTTTCTTTCGTACACATTTAACCATTTAAATTGTTAATTTGTTCACATATTATCATTGTCACCTTCTATATCCGGTGACAACGACAATATGTGAACACATATAACAAGTTAAATGATCAAATATGTACAGAAATAAAGAAGTTACCTAAATGTGAATAAAACGATAAAGATGATTACTCTGACAAGTTATTTTCCCTGAAAAAATGATGAATTAAACTTAGTTCAATCAACAAAATTTACAACACAAAAAGTAACGGAATATTTTGGATTGTTTATAAATAGTGACGTGTTTCATGAATAGTGACAATTGAATTTCAATTACTTTTGCTTTTGTAGATAACAATCAATATTTTGAACTGTAATTGCTTTTGATTTTGTGGATAACAATCAATATTTTGAACTGTTAATAAATAGTGACAGGTTTCATTAGTTTTTTTTTGCAACACTAAAATGTATTTGTAATATATTAAATATTTGTATCAATTTAACGGTATTTGTGAAGTCTTTTTTTTTTTGGAACCAGCAAACAATTTATAAAAGACCAATCACTAGCAAGTAGGTAGAAGAAGGCAAATAAAGATGCCAGAGTGATTAGAGTTTATAAACAAAGAAAGTGACAATTACACCATTCAATCCAAGCCATTCTAGATTTCTTCCTTTTCTTCTTGATCCACAAAAAAGTTAAGGATTTGATGATATCCGCACATTTTGTTGGGAATGGCCGATTGTTGTTAAATGTAGACAAAACTTCAAAAATGGTCACTGTGGTTTTCGAAAATCTGAAGTTTAGTCCCTACTTTTTAAAAACATCACAGATGGTCCCTGTGGTTTCAAAACTTTTAACAAATGGTCCTTTTCGCTAACTCCGTTAGCTTTTGGTCGTTAACTGAAGGGAATTTCTGTCATTTCTCTACCATAGGAACCATTTATGAAGTTTTGCCTTATTAAAAAAAAAAGAAAAAAATATAATTATTTAATATTAAAATCTCTCTCTCTCTCTCTCTCCCTCTCTCTCTCTCTCTCTCTCTCAAAACAAGAAATTGAAAATTGGCTGAGAAATCCTTTTGCCCCTTTTAGGTTGAAACTGAACAAACAATCCAAAATCATGTTCATCATAAATCTTTTAGAAATCTAGAATCATGTTCGTGTCTCCAAAAAACACTCAAATAAACTATTACAGATCATAATAGGCATATTCACCAGTTTGAATCCTTTCTGTGCTAAATTGATCGACAATGCAATTTTCCATGTTCGTCAAATACCAGCAAGAACAATGTCTGATTTGTGTAAGTTCTGGGATAAAGTTTCGTCATCTTGTTTGTCTTGAAGTAATCTTCAGTCAGGGGGAATTTCCTGCCCGAAGCACCACGATACACCGCTGTTCACCCACTCGTTCCCAACCACCGCCAGTCTTAGAACAAGATGCATAACCATATACAAATATGTATTGTAAAGACGATGAATTAGGCAAATTGAAGCTGTTAGCCTGTTACAACTAGGGCTAGACAACACCAGCGATGGCAACAAGCAAGGAACAATACGAAATTGAGTTACATGATAGTAATCAGTTCTACCTAGAACATTAGGGCATTTTGACAATTTCAATTCTTTCATACAACAAATTATTTGAAATAAATATGGTTATTAGATCTAGGGGTAAATTGCTAATTCCAGAAACTAGAATGGACAAAGTGTGAGTGTGTGTTTTGTGTGCGACTGGAACGTGAGAGGGAGAGAAGCTGAGAGAGTTTGAGATCGAGATGGACTCCATGGATGCTCTTTCTAGCAATGTTGAAATTAATGGGAGAACAAGAAAGATACATTCGTGTTCTCCGGCAGCGACATTGGGGAAGAGAGTGTGTGATGTTCGTTTTGTTCATGGGGCTGATGTCGTGAGTAATGCTTGAGTTGGATGCATTTTTCTTGTTCGTGGTTGCTTCTCGTCCTTCCGGCAACACTGAAAGATACGAACTCCGGCGAACTTTGTTTCTCAGGTGAGCTTGGTTTTTCTTTTTGTTTCCGTTCATTTGACGTCAAATATGTGCGGATAGAGAGAGAGAGAGAGAGAGATTTTAATATTAAATAATTATATATATATATATATATATATATATATATATATATATATATATATTTTTTAAATAAGGCAAAAATTCATAAATGGTCCCTGTGGTAGAGAAATGACAGAAATTCCCTTTAGTTAACGGCCAAAAGCTAACGGAGTTAGCGAAAAGGACCATTTGTTAAAAGTTTTGAAACCACATGGACCATCTGTGAGGTTTTTAAAAAATAGGGACTAAACTTCAGATTTTTGAAAACCACAGAGACTATTTTTGAAGTTTTGTGTTAAATGTATTATCATTCCTTGTTTTCCATATGCTCCAAAGAGTGCTATAGCATATCCCAATGAAGGTATTTGTGAAGCCTAGTTAATGGTATAATATGCTTAAAATAACACTTCAAATTTAATTATATATTTCTAGTAAATTAAGTTATACATAATATACATTAATATACAATAAGGGTTAAGAGTGCTATAGCATATCCCAATGAATGTATTTGTGAAGCCTAGTTAATGGTATAATATGCTTAAAATAACACTTCAAATTTAATTATATATTTCTAATAAATTAATTTATACATAATATACATTAATATACAATAAGGGTTAAAAGTAAAATTTTCAAAACTAAAAGATTTAAATAATTAAAAGGATATATGAAAGTTAAAAGGGTATATTTGTAATTAGATAAATGGTATATAAAAGCTATAATTGTAACTAGAATCTAGTTACTAGATAAAAGGATGTTAAAGGTGTACGATAATTTTAGTATTCGGATTTCGGACAATGCAAATGATAAGGTCCTTCGATTATAAAACACCCAAGCAACCATAGATTTTTCAAACACTCCCTGTTTTTGCAAAAATTGTAAAAAATAAAATAAATAAATAAAAATATAACTTGAAGATGACGTTCTGCGTGACGGTTCAGAAGAAAAAACAATAAGGTAAGTTTGCTACTTATTTATTATAAATATCATCGTATACATACTCCCATCACACCACAGCCTGCAAGCAACCATGCAACCTCTCACCATCGTCTCTCTAATTGTGGCTTCACTCTTTCTCATTGCTTGTTGGGCACTATCACCCAAGACTTTGAAGAACTTTCCACCAGGGCCACCAAAACTACCTATTATCGGAAACATACACCAACTCAAAAGCTCCACCCCTCATCGAGTTCTTAGAAGGTTAGCCAGGAAATATGGCCCCATCATGTACCTACAGCTCGGCCAAGTCTCTACAGTTGTCGTGTCTACACCTCGACTAGCTCGAGAGATCTTCAAGACCAACGATATCTGCTTTGACGACAGACCGACCAGCACAGCCTCTCAAATATTCTTTTATAACGCTCAAGACATTGGGTGGGCTCCTTGCGGAGAATACTGGAGACAGATGAAGAAGATCTGCAGATTAGAGCTTCTAAGTGCTAAAAAGATTCGATCTTTCAGCTCCATTCGGGAAGAGGAGCTTAGTCGTATAACTAAGGTTTTTGAATCGAAAGCCGGAACACCCGTCAACTTCACGGAAATCACTGTGGGGATGGTGAATAATGTGATATGCAAGGCTACGTTGGGATATTCTTACAAAGACCAGGCTACACTGATCGAGCTATTGCTTGACGTGTTGAAAACTTTGAGTGCTTTCAATCTAGCATCGTATTATCCCCGTCTACAGTTTCTTGACGTGATTTTGGGGAAGAAAGCCAAGTGGTTGAAGATGCATAAAAAGCTTGATGGCATCTTGGAAGATGTGTTAAAGGAACATAGAGCTAGAGGAAGAAACAATAACCATCAGGAAGATCTAGTTGATGTCCTGTTGAGGGTGAAGGAGACCGGTGACATGGATTTCAAGCTCACGGACGAACATGTCAAAGCCGTTGTTCTGGTAAATATATACATACACCTATATACAAACGAGTGGCCTAATCTAATGTGTTAATACAGGATATGTTGGCTGCTGGAACTGATGCATCTTCGACAACACTTGAATGGGCGATGGCGGAACTCATGAGGAACCCTCAGATTATGAAGAGAGCACAGGCAGAAGTGAGATCAGTGGTGAAGGGAGACACAATCACGGAAACCGATGTACAGAGTTTGCATTACCTGAAACTAATAGTAAAGGAAACATTGAGGTTACATGCTCCTACACCATTGTTAGTACCCAGAGAATGCCGGCATGACATCAACGTCGGCGGATATGATATTCCGGCCAAGACTAAGATAATAGTAAGCGCCTGGGCTTGTGGAACAGACCCTGATAGTTGGGAAGATGCCGAAAGCTTCTTTCCAGAGAGATTTGAGAACTGCCCGATCAATTACATGGGTGCAGATTTTGAGTTCATTCCATTTGGTGCTGGCCGGAGAATTTGCCCAGGAATTACATTTGGGCTGAGTATGGTTGAATACCCACTTGCTAATTTCTTGTATCATTTTGATTGGATGCTTCCAAATGGATTAAAACCGCATGAGCTTGACATCACAGAAATCACAGGGATTTCTACATCGCTCAAACATCATTTGAAAATCGTCCCGATCCCCAAAGTCCTTAGCAAAGTAAGATAAGCTTCAGCTTTAATTGGATTGGTCGTGCATTTGTTGGGGCTCTCGTCAGTGTTCCTTCTTGTTGTTCCTTCTTGTCGTATCATATGCCTGTACTTTTTTCATGGATTCGCAATAATATGTTTAATTTTCATTTATGCGTGACAATAACATATTTACTTTTACTAGGGATGCCAATTTATTTATTTATTTTTCTTATTTTTTTTTGTGAAAGTGTGTTGAATTTGGAAACCATGGTTGATTTCTCGTTACAAGAATATTGATCTTTAATGGCGTCTCCCCGCGAATATTCCAAAATGTCGCTATTAAAGGTATTAGCGCGGCATCTCGCCGTTAAATGGTCACCGCTGTTGATTCATCACTAATGCTCAAATCGTCGACGCTATTGTCTCACATCGCCGCTAAAAGTGTATGTCGCCACTAACACTAATTGTTGTTTTCTCTTTTTTATTAGTATTTCTTTTATTATTTAACATTAAAAATACTAAAAAAAACAGTATAGAAATATAAAAACAACTATGAAATATTAATTGCAGAAAAATAGATCGAAACATTAAAATTTAAAGATACGGTGTCCCAAAGTATCAATCCAAACATTAAGTGCAAATTATGTTTTAATTCTAACAAAACATTACATAAATCCTACATGTAGCTACATGTCATCATCACTCTCTCTCCCCCCTCGTTCTCTCCGGTATCATATCGTGGTGAAAACGATCGAAACCATTCTTCAAGTCTCGAATTACATGTCGGGTCTTTTAACATTGTTTGAAGCATATCCGACTACAAAAAAAAACAAAAAAACAAAAAAAAAACATAATCTTATAAGTTAAACCAACAACTTACCAAAATATAAGCAAAGTACAAAATATATTATCAATATATCAAACTATAAAAATTACAATTATGAAACTATAAATTACCAACATATAACCAAACTAACAAATACCAAACTACAAATTACCAACATATCAAACTATAACTAAACTAACTTTTACCAACATATAAACTATTATCAAACTAACAATTACCAACATATAAACTATTACTGAACTAAAAGTTACCCACATATTAAAAAATTACGAAAACATAACCAAGCTAAAAGTTACCAAACTAACAAATATCAACGTATAAAACTATAACCAAACTAACAATTACTAACATATCAATATATTTCCTAACTAACAATTACCAAAACATAACCAAACTCACAATTACTAGAATATAACCAACTAACAATTACCAAATTATAAATACCAACATATCAAACTATAACAAGTATATATAAGAAATTTTAAAATTAAATAGTCTTGTTATACCTATGATTGTGGTTGTGACAGTGGTGGCGACTGTGATGGTTGTTCATGATCGTACATTGACACAACCATAGAATGTTTACGTCCGATGCCTCTGATATAGCCGTGTCGAGCATCCAATATTTTTTCAAAACCATTTGTGTTGTTAGTCCTCTTTCTTTGGTTAAAGCTTGAGTTTGTTGATTTAACTCTAGGATTAAATCATTTTGTATTTTCAAAAAATGATTAACATCATAATATAAATAAACACTTATATGAAAATACTATAATTAATCACTTACAGATTGCTACTCGGCACTAGTACTAACGAATACCCCTTGGTGATCGGTATGAGTCTTATAAAAGACTTCGAGTCTACTAATGTCCTATTAAACATTAAAAATTAGATTAATTATACTTTAAATAAATAATTAAATATATCATAACTTACTTATTTGAAACAAGAATTACTATACGACTACAACCACCCTTTGTGTGTGGATTGTTGTAGTGCACAGACTCCTTTGTTTGCCGTCGAACGCTTTATAAAGGGGGTTTGAAAATGTTCAACTGCTTGCACCAAATTTTCACGTGACATACCCTTGGGGGGGGGGGTGGGGTGGGCTAATTCCCTTGGGATATATACAAGCCCTCCGACTCTCTCAAAATAATTATGTGCTTTACTTTTCGGTCTTTATAACGTTTTTGTAGAGACACATTAATGCTTTGCAATAACTGAACACGTTGGGGATCCAATTTGACCTAATCCAAATTGAAATTTATCTACAAATACAAAATAATAGTTAATTAGATGTCAATCACAAATAAACTTAAAATATTTATCATATATACAACTTCGACATTCCTTAAAGTAGGGAAAACATTGTCCCAACCAGATACGCTAAAATGGATGTTCTCCCACATATACCGCCCAATCTCATGGGTAAACATATTGCCACATTTCCCGATAGGGGAAAATGTGAGCTCTTTGTCGAAATCCAAACCTATTGGCTTTCCCTTGTTTTTTGAAACTGCTTTTAAAGTTTGATATTTTTGGATAATCCACGTGTTCTTTTTGGTGGCTCAGCGAAACAATATAATTAAAAATATTAGTCACGATATAAATGAATAAAAAAATTAATTAAATCGTAATAAGATTTATCTTCCTCTTTGTGGTATCCACAACCAAAGACTACTGGAGGTGGTAGATCCCCAACCCCATTAGCTCCATGTCCTAGCCCCATGACATCAGCCATGATGTAAAACAGTATCCTCCAACTAAACCCCCAATATAGCCTTGTTAGAATTTAGGAACGATAGATTCTAATAAAAAACATCATAAGAAGAGTTGGATGATTGACAAGAACACGAAGAGGTAAATAAGAACTGATTTCATTAATGGGTAAAAGAAGAGTTCGTTACAACAGATGTGCATAAATATTCTGTCAAAAAGATACTCATTATGTATAACTAGCACTCCTATATATATAGGCATGTAAGAAGCACTAAACAGGAATCCTAAGTCAACAGTTCATAACTGCAAACCTAAGAATAACATAAATTCCAAAATCGAAACAATACATTTCGGAATAGGTAAAGACATTATATGTAACATACTATTGCGAACACAACACATACATCTCTGACACAACACAAATTTTGAACTCTAACAATCTCCCCATTTGTGTTAAGTTGTTGTAGTCTTTACCTTCTCTTTCACTTCAAAAACCAACGGTATATTCTTCAAAAGTATCATATGAACAATCACCCGCCATCTAATCATATCTTAGACTCATTTGACATCGCTTGGTTTATTCAACTTGCACAACTCAACCCTTGAAAGCACATTTGTAAGTGTTGTAAAAGGATATAAGTTTTTGTCTCGCAAATACAAAATGCAATACCGATTAGCTCCATTTTCCGATGTTTGAGAAACGATACCCCAAGGCTCTTTCTTAATAAACCCAATCTTCTGATTCTCAAATACTTCTGTTTGATTAAGTGACTTCACAATTGGTTTTCTACTCAGCTTCTTCTCAATCTCTACATCCAGTTTACTAATTTCTTGAATATAACCTCTTACTATTCTTCTCAAGATCTGAAAGATAGGCTCATATTTAACTGGATCCTTTGAAACATTACTAGAAGAACAATATAATCATAAGGATTCATTTGTGGAAGATCAGCAAGAGTAAAATCTAATACATGGTTAGCACCCCGGAACCCGTTGAAATAAATATTCACAAAACCTTCATCATCAAAAGATTTTCTAATCTTCACTCCTGAAAACATTTTAAACTCCATGTTTTAACTGAGGTTTTCACTGTTTGGCATAAAAGTTAAAAAGCTTCTTGTTCTTAGGTCAAAAGACCATTTTTCCCTTAATCAATGATCTAAAACATACTTTTACTAACAATTGACGAAAAGTCAAATTGGTCAAAAAGTCAACAATCAATGGTAAACAGTGCATCGTGTCATGGCAAACCCTTAGATGTATCGTGTTCTAGTTCCACAAAACAGTCATGTGACTCCCTTGTCCACCGTATCATGGTCAACCCTTGACTGTGTCGTAGTTCTTCTGGCAGAACAATACTTTTATTAAGCTCTTAATTTGTTAAGTCCAAGCCACATATTTTCCAAAAGGATTTAATACCATCTTATAGTTCATAAAAATAGAAACTTTATGAAAATGTAAAATTATGCCAGTCTCGCACCATTCTTGGTAAAAAAAAATGGTGAAATATGGTCCTAACTCCATGCATTTCACCAAATGGAGAGTAAAGACCGATCTAACACATATAATACTCCTGGTAACCTCAGAAAGCAATAAAGTTGCAAATTTTGTTGCCTCAGTTCACTCAAAACTCAAAAAATGGATAAAACGAAATGAATCAGAGTTTGAATTGAATCTAGAACACAGGGAGTAAATATTATCTGGATGACTCAATTAAACTTCTGAAAGATACAAGAGAGTTTTTAGAGTAAGAACACGAAGTGCCCAAAAGTTACTCTACCCTTATTACCTATCCCTATTTATAGGAATGACAGAAGTAAGCAAAAAGTACATAAGGGCTAAATCTAATACGCTTCGACATACAAAAGTGCCCTTATGAAATACATATAACGAACACTGCATTACATACTTCGAATCGTATCAAGCTACAGTAGACTTCGACACCTCACAACAACTATTTGAACCCAACAGGGCCAAACCTTGGTCTTTCATACACATATCATACAAGTACTTTGTATCCTTTAAAACAAATAATAGGTCGGTCTTGGTGCCTTCGACCCATTGATACAGTGAGAAAACTCACCTCAGTCTATTGGAAGCAACAAGATGCTCGACTGCTAAATAGGAAGATCCCACACTACACAAACAATTAGCCCTAATCAGAATTAGGTCACATTCCCAAATCATGGGCCTAAGCCCTAAGTCCAAACTCCTAAAATAAGAACTCAAATCCCTTTTCCCTTAATGGGCCTAACTATTCCTGGCCTACATGCAAAAACGGGCTCCAAGGACCAAAAGGCCCTACTACATTACCTAAGGCCCATTAGAAAATTCAAACGTCTACCTACTCTAAACAAATCAAGGTCCAAACCCAAATAAGGCCCAATGACCAAAAAGCCCAACACAATACCAAAAGTTCACTGGGAGTGTACGTGCGGCGTAATCCCAATACATTCAGCGTACTTGACCTCCATGCAGTACACGATGCGTACACCTTGGTACGCTCAGCGTACTGCGCTGCTCAAGACCTTCAACCATGTGGTGCTTAATCCATGGTAGTCTCATAATCTAATTTCTAGATCTCAGTCATTAAGAGGGCCCTAGGGCATAAAGTTGACA